CTCATTTATTATTTCTAAAAGTTTTTTAGTGGATTCTTTAGGGTTTTCTATATATAAAATTATATCGTCTGCAAAGAGTGACAGTTTCACTTCTTCTTTTCCAATATGGATCACTTTTATTTCTTTTTCTTGCCTGATTGCTCTGGCTAGGACTTCCAATACTTTGTTAAATAAGAGTGGTGACAGTGGGCATCCTTGTCTGGTTCCTGTTCTTAGAGGGATAGCTTTCAGTTTTTCTCCATTGAGAATGATCTTAGCTGTGGGTTTGTCATATATGGTCTTTATTATGTTGAGGTATTTTCCTTCTACATCCATTTTACTTAGAGTTTTTATCATAAATGGATGCTGTATCTTGTCAAATGCTTTCTGTGCATCTACTGAGATGATCATGTGATTTTTATTCTTCCTTTTGTTAATGTGGTGTATCACGCTGATTTGCAGATGTTGAACCATCCCCGCATCCCAGGAATGAAACCCACTTGATCATGGTGTATGATCTTTTTAATGTATTGTTGTATTTGATTTGCTAGTATTTTGTTGAGGATTTTTGCATCAATGTTTATCAGTGATATTGGCCTGTAATTTTCTTTTTTTGTGTTGTCCTTGTTTGTTTTCGGTATCAGGATAATGTTGGCTTCGTAGAATGAGTTAGGAAGCCTCCCCTCCTCCTCAATTTTTTGGAAGAGTTTGAGAAGGATAGGTAGTAAGTCTTCTTTGAATGTTTGGTAGAATTCACCAGGGAAGCCATCTGGTCCTGGACTTTTATTTTTTGGGAGGTTTTTGATTGCTGTTTTGATCTCCTTACTGGTCATTGGTCTATTCAAATTCTCTACTTCTTCTGGTCCAATTTTGGAAGATAGTATGTTTCTAAGAATTTATCCATTTCTTCTAGATTATCCAATTTGTTGGCATATAGCTTTTCATAGTATTCTCTTATTATCTTTTGTATTTCTGAGGTGTCCATTGTAATTTCTCCTCTTTCATTTCTGATTTTATTTATTTGACCCTTCTCTCTTTTTTTCTTGGTGAGTCTAGATAAGGGTTTGTCAATTTTTTTTATCTTTTCAAGGAACCACATCTTGGTTTCATTAATTTTTTCTATTTTTTTTGTCTCAATTTCGTTTATTTCTGCCCTGATTTTTATTATTTCCTTCCTTCTGCTGATTTTGGGGTTTGTTTGTTCTTCTTTTTCCAGTACATTTAGATGCTCTGTTAGGTTGTTTATTTGAGATTTTTCTTCTTTGTTGCGGTAGGCCTGAATTCCTATAAACTTCCCTCTTAGAACCATTTTTGCTGTATCCCATAGATTTTGGCATGTCCTATTTTCATTTTCATTTGTGTCCAGGAATTTTTTGATTTCTCCTTTGATTTCCTCATTGACCCAATCATTGTTCAGTAGCAGTTTGTTTAATCTCCACATTTTTGTGGCTTTCCTGGTTTTCTTCCTGTAGTTGATTTCTAGTTTCATACCTTTGTGGTCAGAAAAGATGCATGGTATTATTTCAATCTTCTTAAATTTATTGAGACTTGTTTTGTGGCCTAATATGTGATCAATTCTGGAGAATGTTCCATGTGCATTTGAGAAGAATGTGTATTCTGTGGTTTTTGGATGGAATGTTCTATATATATCCACTAAGTCCATCTGGCCAAATGTGTTGTTTAAGGCCAGTGTTTCCTTATTGATCTTCTGTTTGGATGATCTATCCATTAGTGTAAGTGGAGTGTTAAAGTCCCCTACTATTATTATGTTATTGTCTATTTCTCCTGTTATGTCTGTTAATAATTGCTTTATATATTTAGGTGCTCCTATGTTGGGTGTGTAGATATTTACAAGTGTTATATCTTCTTGTTGGATTGTTCCCTTTATCATTATGTAGTGCCCTTCTTTGTCTCTTGTTACAGTTTTTGTTTTAAAGTGTATTTCGTCTGATATAAGTATTGCTACCCTTGCTTTCTTTTCTTTGCCATTTTCATGGAATATCTTTTTCCATCCTTTCATGTTCAGTGTGTGAGTGTCTGTAAGTCTGAAGTGTGTCTCTTGTACGCAACATATATATGGGTCTTGTTTTTTACTCCAATTGACCACCCTTCGCCTTTTGATTGGAGCATTTAGTCCATTGACATTTAAAGTAGCTATTAATAAATATGTATATATTACCATTTTGTTACTTTTTTTTCTGGGTGTTTTAGTAGTTCTTCTCTGTTCCTTTCTTTTTCTCTTGCTGTCTTCCCTTGTGGTTTGATGGCTTTCTTTAGTAATATGTTTGATCTCTTTTGTCTTACTTATTTGCTTACTTATTACAGGTTTCTGATTTGCGATTACCATGAGGATCCTATATAATACTCTCTATATATAACAGTCTCTATGGAGTTGATAGACTTTTTAACTTGACCTCTTTCTAAAAGCTCTACTTTTTCACTCCCCTCCTCCCACATTTTATGTTTTTGAAATCATATCTAATCTCTTGTTTTGTGTGTGTCTATCCATTCCCCTCTTATCATTGAAATAGGTAATTTTAGTACTTTTGTCTTTTAACCTTCATATTCTCTTTACAGGTGGTTGATCTGCTACTTTTACTATATTTTTACCTTTACCAGTGATTTTATTGCCTGGTTTCTTGGGGGAGTTTTTTAATAATTTTTTTATCCCTATTTGTGGTCATCACCTTCCCACTTAAATAAGTCCCTTCAGCATTTCTTGTAGAACTGGTTTCTTGGTGATAAATTCCTTTAATTTTTGCCTGTCTGGGAAGCTCTTTATCTCTCCTTCCATTCTGAATGACAACCTTGATGGATAGAGTATTCTTGGCTGTAGGTTTTTTCCTTTTAGCACTTTAAATATGTCATGCCATTCTCTTCTCGCCTGTAGGGTTTCAGCTGAGAAGTCCGCTGATAGCCTGATGGGCTTTCCTCTGTATGTCACTTGTTGCCTTTCTCTTGCTGCTTTTAGGATTCTCTCTTTATTGTTAATTTTGGACATTTTAATTATAATGTGTCTTGGTGTGGGCCTCTTTGGGCTTATTTTGTTTGGAGCTCTCTGTGCTTCCTGTGCTTGGATGTCTGTTTCCTTTCTTAGGTTAGGAAAATTTTCAGCTATTATTTCTCCAAATAAATTTTCTGCCCCTTTGTCTCTCCTTCTCCTTCTGGGACACCTATAATACAAATGTTAGTGTGCTTGATATTGTCCCAGAGTTCCCTTAGACTGTTCTCATTCTGCCTAATTCTTCTTTCTTTTTTCTGTTCAGCTTGGGTGATTTCCTCTAGTCTTTCATCTAACTCACTGATCCATTCTTCTGTATCATCTACTCCGCTATTGAGTCCCTCTAGTGAATTTTTCATTTCTAGTATTGTATTCTTCATTTCTGGTTGGTTCTTTTTCATATTTTCCAGTTCTTTGTTGATGAGCTCACTTGTTCATCTAGTCTTCTCCCAATGTCTGTGAGCATACTTAGGAGTTTTTGTTTGAACTCTTTGTCAGGTAGGTCGCTTATTTCTGTTTCATTTAGTCCTTTTTCTGGGGTTTTGTCCTGTTCCCTTGATTGGAATGTATTCCTTTGTCTCCTCATTATGCCTCTTTCTCTGTGCTTATATCTATGTATTAGGTGAGTTGGCTATGTCTCCTGATCTTGGAGAAGTGGGCTTATGTAAGAGATGCCTTTTTGAGGCCCAGCAGTGTGCTTCCCTCTTGTCACCAGTCCAAACAATCCAGGAGTGACCCCTTTGTGGGCTACTTGTGTCCTTCTGCTGTGGCAAGGTTGCTCTCACTGCAGGTACCCAGGGAGTCTAGTCTTTCCCTTCCTGGCCAGCTGTTTGTAAATCCAGTTTGGGGAGCCTCAGCACCGTTGGCTGCAAAGTCTAACAGCACACTCTTGTTGCAGTTTTCCTGTCACTTGGGTAGGTACCCAGTGTAGCTGATTGCTAGGCTCAGAGGCTTACAGTTGTGATAGGCCTCAGGCCTACAAGGCTATTGTCAGTTATCTTAGGAGTGCAGCTGAGTGGGGCTGCCCCTAGTCATGGGAGCACTCAATTGTTTCAGATTTTGGAAGGTGGGGCTGATCCTTTTTATGGCTATTTGTGAGGCACAGGTCTTCTGCCACTGATAACCCTCACCCCCTACAGGACCACACACACTGTCAACACAGTCCTGATCCGTGCACACTTCCCACCCCCTGGAGCATACCCCAATGCCCCACCACAGAGGCCCCCACCTCTCCACCAATGCCCCCCATAGTCCAACTGGTCCTCACACATGCCCTGCCCCAACAGAGGTGGACACACTTGCCTGCCTGTAGAGGATCAAGGCACCCAGTCAATGCAGGCCAACAAGTAGTCTGAGGGCTTGCTGTTGGGTGGGGCTGGTCCCTAGGGTGGGCTGCCTGCCCTGGCTGAACTGGATTAAATCTGTGCTCTAGTGGGTGTGGCAGACCCCTAGGCTAACAGGCCAGGGGAAGAATTTCAATGGCGTCTGATGGGGTCTCTGTCAGCATCCCTGAACTAGGTCACAACAATGGCCACCACCAATGTCTCAGTCTCCGGAGAGGTCTCTCCTCTCACCAAGATGCACCCAGAGCCCACCAGGTGAGTCTCTTTTCACCAAAGGACTGTCAGCCTTCTCTCTGGTGATTTTAGGTTGCTGAGACAGATGAGTTTGTGCATGGGCCCTTTAAGACCCAGGTCTTTTTGGCTTTCGTCCAATAGCTTTTCTGGGGGTATCCTCAGCAAAGCCAGACAGTAAGACCCTCATCTCAGTTGTGCTGAGTCTGAAGGATGCTTATAGCAGTATCGGCCCTGCTCTGGACCTCACTCCTCCAGGAAGGGCTGTGTACCTTAGGGCGACTCCCACCTGGCCAGCTGAGAAACTCCGCTGCTCCTGAAGGTGGCTTTTTTTCTCTCCAGAAGGAATTTCTGCCTCTTCTGCCTTGGTCAGGACTGTCCCTTGTTGTGGGGGTTCTTTTTATCCAGTTTTCAGTTTTCTATCCAGGGTAATTTTTCCAAAAATAGTTGTAACCTGGTTGTGTTTGTGGGAGGAGATGAGTTCAGAGTGTACTTACACCACCATCTTGACTCATGTCAGTCTATGGAATTTTGTTACAGCGGCCCAAGCTGACTAGTGAACACCAACGAAGAGAGCAGTTGGCTCCCAGAAGTGGAGTACTGCAAGCTGCCAGTCCTAACACAAGGAAGGCGAGCTGAGTGGAGGCGAACAAGGAGCAGTGAGGACCTCCCACCCGAGTAGGAAACTGCAACCATCCCTGGACAGCCACAAAGCAAGCTGGTGGAAAGACGCCTGTGCATCTTGGATTCTCACCGCATTCCAAAGAGGCTGCCACTTTAGGACTTGATGAAAAAATATCAGGCCATCAGTGGCGGAGGCTTCCAGTGGACTTCAGTAAAGCCCTGTAATAGACAGACAAGCTTTTCCCTCAGGTGCCCGCTCTGAAAGCAGAAAGGAACAGAAACACAGACTTGCAGGAGGCAGGCTTTTCAACTATGGCTCAGGGTCAGTGTTAAAAAGGCCAAATTTGCAGCCCCAATATAAAGTTCGTAAGAACAAAGATTGGGAAGACAAAGATAATAATGTGTCCAAGAGCACCCCCTTGGTCACAGGCTACCTGGGCCCAAGGGCAAGTCAGCCCAGGTTACAGGACGTCCAGGCCAAGGCAGACGTGGCAGAGCCGAGGGCGAGGAGGAGCAGGGCACCAGGCTTCACATTTCTAAGACGGGCTTCCTCCGGCTGGAGGCCAGATCTCTGGCTTTGGTAACGAGCTTCTGGGTGGACAGATCATGTCCACGGACACCAGCGGTCTACTGAGGGGTGGCCAGACGAAACGCCGAGCCTAGTGAGCCTAGACCTGACCCACGGACCCAGCAGCCAGGAGCAGGTCTCCGCCACCTCCTGCCTTGTCATCTGCCTGTTCTGACTGGGGCTCCCCTCAGGCTCAGGGGGCACAGCTCAGCGCTGGGGGAAGCCTGCTGCGTCTCCGATCCTGGTCAGACTTGGAACTTTCTTTCGTCTTGCCTCTTGGTTTGCTGCTTTTTTCTCTTCTTCCTTCCTTTGTTCCTTTTTTTTTTATTTTGTTCGGGGCGGCAGGGGAGTTGTTTTCCACTGTAAAATAAAACACAGACACGGAGAGCTGCACCGAGCAGTGCACGGCTTACGGAGACACCGTTGTTGACGCTTGCAGGGCCGACTCCCTGCCCCACCGCTGGCTTCCAGCGAGCCGCTCTCCGGCCGGGTGTCCCACTCCCTCGCAGCCCGCCCGTGACTACAACAGGCCACGGCTGATCCCACTGCAGAAGACAAGCCCGCCCACCTGCAGCCTGTGGAGGAGACTAGAAAACCGAAACCGTCCATTAGAATCTTTCCCAGCTGTTTGTAAGATGCACTTACAAAGCGATGACAGTTATACTGATCGCTTACTTAATTATTTATGGCAACCAAAACAATAAAAACAGTGTTTACGGCACAACTGTCAAAAGCCCGGCAGTGTGACAGTCTAGCTCCTCTCGGTGATCGTGCGGCAGCCTTCGTGGTTACACGTGGGTGGACTGAGGCTGAGAGCTCCGTAGTTGTCCGGGGCCTCGCGGAGCGCCTGGGCTCCCGGCCTGTCTCCGGGCGGCGGCCGGGGCTCCCCCCCATCCCAGCCAGCCCGCCGCCTCCAGACGGCCGCCCCGAGAGCCGCCTCTCGCGCACACGGTCCCTCTGAGACACTGAGTCCCAGGACGAGCTGAGAAGAGCCCTGAGGCGAGCTTCGCTGAGGCACACGCACCCCAGGAGCGGCCGCGCCAGGAGGGGCACTACCGCCAGAGGCCACTTCACCCGAGAGACGGCCACCTGGCCGGACAGCCCACCTGGGCCAGACCCTGCCCCACCCTCCCGCGCCCGGCCCGCTCGAGGCCCAGGCTGCCTTCCGAGGCCCCTGTCTTCACGGGGCTCCTCAGGTACAGACGAACCTATGTTTTCTCCTCTTGTTAATCCTTTATTACAAGGAGAAGTCTCAGCCAAGAACCTAGAACGGTAGAGAAAAAATGGTGTTTTTTTAGATGAGATTTTCAATAAATTAGATTTTACTGTTTTCAGTAAGCGTTTGCTGAGCATCTGTCAAGGCACACACAAAATGACGTGAATCCCAGATTCTTCTCTCACGACAAGGAAAGCCAAAGAGACAGCTCAAAAAGTATGTAAATAATGCTGAGAAGGTAAAAAAAAAAAAAAAAAAAAAAGCATACATTAGAAAATGATACACATAAAGTGCCATAGTGGCTCAGAGAAAGAACAGCTCATCAATCTTGATCAATCATGAAGGGCTCCATGGATGGACTCGCGCAGACGTGCAAAGGAAAGGCACGGTACATGTAAAAGCAACAGAATCTTCTTCTGACTAGAGAGTCAGACCCTTGCCCGTGTGGGGCTCACTACAGTCCCCAGCACCACACCATGACTCCACCGCGGGCTAGGAGGTGAGCCGAGGAGCGTCTCCATCCACGGGGAGGGCCCCCCCCCCGAGCCTGCCGACCCCTCACGCTGCCCGGGCTCAGCACTAACGGAGAGGAGCCGGGGCATCCTGGCTGCCGTTGCCCGTCCACCCCTGCATGCCCTGAAATGGCATTTGATGGCTCCACTTCTTAATCCATGTGCTTATATATTGTACATTATGACAGACTGTTGCCTGTTGGCATTTTTCAAACCATTTTCTCGACCACAACAGGCACTGACAAAAATGTACCCGCTGTGATTTTCCCGGAGCTACATGCACTCAAGGGTCTACACGCCTGCTCAAGGGTCCCCCTGCAGCCAAAACTTCCGTGAGGCATCCTGCCAGGGTGAACACGTCAACGCCCATAAACGTAAGTTTCTTTTGTTTCCCAAAGAGCAAAACTAATCTAAGGGACTTCAACTTACGTTATCTTTTGTAGTTGAACTCAGAAGATATTCACGGCACTGAACAGAGGGCAAGGCGAGCTTCCCGCCTTCAGGGACCCATGTGGAAAGTCAAATAAAAAGGTAAAGCATTATATGATAACTGTTTTTGTTAATTGCAGACTTTCTTGCTATTTCCTCCACTAAACTAAGAAGATCTTGGGGGCAAAATTATGATCTTTAATTTGTTTAACCTGACATGGCTCAGTGCCTGGCACTTTGGAGGCCTTCAACAAATGTTGCTACTGATGAAGAAATAGAATAAGTAAATAGATGATGGAAGCATGGATGAATAAACAATGGAAGGATGGACAGAATAACAGGAGTCCAGGGTAGGGAGAAATGACTGCTGGTTGGAGAAAAGGCTTGGGCTGGATTTATCAATAATAAAAACGCAGACAAATCCTTGTATTTAGAAGTCTTCCTCTCTGATTTCCTGGTTCTGCCCAGAGTCAGAATATATCTTAGAAACTCATTCTATTCTACTTCCTGCCACTTCACCTCCAAATTGCTTCATCCTCTCCCCCACCACCACCTCCATCTAAATCTGCACATCCTAACTCAAGGAGAAGCGGGTAAATGGATAAAGAAATTGTGGTACATCCATACAGTAAAACACTCATCAGCAATACAAAGGAACGAAACCTCAGATGCGGATGAACCCCAAAAGCAGGAAGTGAAAGAAGCCAGACACAAAAACTACAGACACATGATTCCCTGTGTCTGACGCTCTGGAAAAGGCAAAGCTACAGGGACAGAAATCAGATCTGTGGGTGTCAGGAGCTGGGAGAGGGGAGAGAACTGGCTGCAAAAGGACATGGGAGAACTTCTGGGGTGATGAAAATATTGTGTCTTGATCGTACACAGCTGTATACGTTTGCCAAAATCATCAAGCCACAGTACACACCCAGAAAGAGTGAATTGCACTCTATGTAAATTATACCTTCATAATCCCAACTTTTTAAAAAGCCAAAAAATAAAAACCTAACTCAAAACCTCCTCTTAAAAGCTTAGCATGGCCACTCTCTGCTTCAAGTGTTCGTTTATCATCCTCGTAACTCATGCAGTGATTGATTATGCCTTGAGAGCGCCTCTACTATTATTGTCTTGAAACAGTATTTATTTGTTATTATTTCCTGTCCAGGTCTTATCTCCCCAACCAGATGATAAATTCCTTGGAAACAGGAACTGTGTGGTATTACACACCCTTTATCCACAACTAAGATCCAGCTCACTGCTTGACACGCACGCCATACGTGAGAAATGTTCAATACGTATTTGCTGACTTGAGTAAAAACCAGCTAATTAGAGATATTTTGGGTACTTCTCCTGCAATCCAAAATTGAGTATGATAAAGAAGCGTACAAGTGCCTTTCTCCATTAAAACACACCTTTCCTCGCAGCCTCTCAGACTGTCTACAGCAATCATTCACACACCTCACCCTCAGTCAGCTCTCTGGCTGATTTATCGCTGACAGAGGAGCCTGAACATTTCCCAGCAGCCCTGGCCCGAGGTGCAGACGCCCCGCAGAAAGTGCGGAGGCCGCGTGCTGACAGCCCCTTCTGCGTCTCCTGGTCTGTTTCCTCTGTGGACCGTTACTGCCTCGTGAGGCCCGGAGTTTTAGTATTGCAGGGGTAAGACACGACAGAAATAATTTATCAGATGCAACAAAATCACATTCCTATTTTAACGTCACAAAATCCAACAATTTCTATTTCATTCTCCTTACATCTAAAATGCTGGGATTTCCAATTTCCAAACTTGCCTATTTTACGACGGCCACTTTCCTCCCTGTATTCTCTCAAACGTCATCAAATTTAATTAACTATCTTAGTGAAGCTGCTGTCTGTCTTATTGCATCATTTTTAAAGGCAATTTAATCTTTGTTAGCCTCTGCTTGGGGCAGGCAGTTTGTCCTAACTAATCTAAGCCCCGGGTTGGCTGCAGAATCTGTTTTCTCACACTGCGCAGCTTCGCCCTCCCACTGTAGCTGGTTCCCCTTGGTTTTCTCTTAGCCGCTTTGGTGCATCTATTTTCCCTCAAACCGGCAGAGACAACATGTCCTTCAGGCACTTTCCCTTCTACCCATCGCCGCCGCGTGGGGCTCCGGCGTCCAGGCCGCTCCTCCTGCCCACCGGCGCCCACGGCGTCCTGGAGCTGCCCTCCAGCCGTCGGGCCCCCTCCCTCCTGCCTGCCTGTCCTCCTTTCCTCCTTCCCTAATTCTGACGTTAAATAAGAAGATAACACAACCACGTCTCCACCAGAACAACACTGACCACAAAAATATTTGGAAACATTAGTAAAGAGAAAAGATTTTAATTAATGTATATATTTACATTACATTTAATACACAGAAATATTTTCAGATTAAAGAAAAGAAACATCTATCTTAAATTTTTCTAATTTAAAAAAACTCTTATAATTACAAAATAATCGCTAGAGCTTCAGGAAGTGACAGCTCACAGCAACGTCTCAGTTCCTTGGATAGTTCCCTCTCCTTCCAGCGGCGCCCCGCCCCGGGGACGCCGGGTCGGCTTCGTGATCTCTGCCCATTTCAGAGGGCAGTGATGCGCTCGCGCCAGAGGTCCTGCTGCCCGCCCGCAGCCCAGGGCGCTCGCAGGGGTGGGCGAGGGGAGCGATCGCCGCCGGCTCCGCCCTCCCGAGAGGGAAGCCGCTCTGCGGACAGGGGGCCCAGAGGCCAGCCCGCCCCAGGGTGCCCCGCAGAAGCACAAGCGATCAAGCGCTTAGAAATGAACATGTATGAACAAAAAAGGGAAACTTTAAGACTTGGAAAGGACACGTCCAGATAGACCCTGCCGCTCAGAGCCTTTCGAGCTATTTTCATTCCTGCCCAGCTTCCTGGCTGCTCCCTGCTGCCCTGAGAAACTCTCCGCAGTGTCTGGGCAGAAGCTCCTGAGTGTGTTGTCTCAGGTTTTTTACTGCCGCGGGCCCAAGAATGGAATGGGCCTGTTCCCTTTATTTCCAATGCTAGAGGAAGGGGAAATTTTTCTCCTAAGGGTCCACAGAGACAGTGATTTAATCCCGTATTTACAGGATCCGCTGAGAAGTCAGGAGGTCCCTGAAAGATGTGCTCTGTGGGGGAAATCAAAGTAGAAAAAAAAAGACACCATTAAATCATTTTAGAATCTGGACTTTATGAGGCAGTCTCATCTGTCATCCTTAGCCATGAGAGGAAATGACAATTTGGATTCCAGGAGGAAAAACAGCCATCCCTGTTAATGCTCAGACTATTACTCGGCTGAGCAGAGCTGTGGTGAAGAAGTGCAAGCTTGCCGCAGGTGCCCACTCAGCCTGCCCCAGACCCTTCCGAGACGCGGGCGGGGACAGGAAGGCCGGGTGACAGGGCTCTGCATAAGCACTGCCTTGTTCTAGGTTGACCAACGCACCACCACCACATAGAAAACTGGTTTTGTTTCACAGGAAGAGGCAAATTCTCCCACGTATTTGCTGATGTGAGCAGAATTTTGGAACGCTCTTTAAAAGTGAAGCCCACTACAACTGTCATTTGACTTTCCAAAGACACTTGTATCCATACAGAGAGCTCAGAGAAGTTAACAACCCAGTTACAGACGAAACAAAATGGAGAGCGTCAGGGCCCTGTATCCCTAGTATATTGTTCTTGAAATAATTATAATATCATATTAATGTCATGTTTTAATTATTAATTCTATAATAATTTGTAAGGAACACATTGTTTCAGATGGTGTTAAGAGCTTCACATATGCTAATCATTGAAGTCTCTCAACAATCAGTGAGGAAGGTGGTATCACTACATTTTAGAGAGGAGCAAAGTGGAACTGAAAGATTAGGCGACTAACTTCCCCACCAACACCCAGCTGGGATGTGTCGGGGTCAAAACTCAAAAGCAAGTCTGACTGAGCCGTCTGGTTATATCGCCGCCTAAAGACAGGACTGTTTCAGCCTGAGCTACAGCACACCTCAAACCAGCAGGGCGCACTTAGGTTGGCTTCCCTCTGCAACCAGCACACACGCATCTATGCAAAGACGGGAAGGAGCAGGATAAACAAGTCCCATGGCTGATGTGACACCTGACCCCAGGCCAGGGTTAACCACTGACACGGGGCCTTGGAGATGGAAGACGGACAGGCCACCCTGTTCACGGGACACAGAGGCAGACCGGCCCAGAGTAGCCCACTGGGCAGCGCGTCCAGCACCTGCACTCACTGCAGACAGTGCAATGGTCCCTGCTGCTCTGCTCTGGCCCCTCCGTGCACTCCCAACTGCAAAAAGGAAAAAGTGAGTTCTGGAATCACAAAATACTCAAGGTGCATGAACACCACGAAGAGGAGAAAGCACACAGAACTCACACTCAAACAACAAAGCGATCAGAAAAAGACTGAAGTGTCATTCATATCCTCCAGGAAATGAGTGAGTATTCAACACAGGAAGCAATTCCAGACTGTTATGAAAAAAGAATCAATCAGAGACCTCGGAAATAAATATACCATTGTTGAAATAGAAGCCAATAGATTCTAAAAACTAAGGAGAAAAAAAGAAAAGAAAAGAAAACCAAAGCTGAAGAGTGAATTACTGAACTGGAAGGCAACATCAAGCAATTCTTCCGAAATGGGCCATGAGGAGATAAACTGTATCAAAAGAAAATTAAGAAAGCTGGGGGAAGAGACAGAGCGCCAACAGCGGTCTAACTGGAGTTGCAGGCAGCGGGAGGGAGAACACAGAGGAGGCAATATTGACAACGTAAGATTCGAGAATTTCCCCCAAAAAGAAAGACACAATTCTCAGATTGAAAGAGCTTTCCAGTGCTGAGCATTTAACTAATGGGAAAAAAAAATACTTACACCATCATATTGAGATTTGAGAACACCAAAAACAAACATATTAAAAACTAATCAAAAAGAAAAATAGCTTAGCTGCAAAGGAACAAGAATAAGATTGACATAGAGTCTTATCAGCAAATCTGGGAACAGGAAGATAATGCAGCAGCATCCTTAAAGCGCTAAAGGAAAAGACAATTTTGAGTCTAGGACTCTGTATTCAGCAAAACTA